ATAATGCATTTCTATTCGAGCCCTTAAGTGCTTGCTCCACTATTCCCATACTCTTCCCACACTGCGGCTCGTATGTTCAGTACATTTTTTCGGGGAATGCATGAAATATGTGGAACATTTGTTTAGCGTTTTATCCAAGCTCAAATATTTGCTTTTTATACAATTTTTATAAAATTTTTTGCAACAACATTAAATACATTAAATTCGAAAAATATGAAATATTGCAGCAAATCAGAATATAAAATGATTTTAACTTTGTTTTTAAGCTTTGACTTCCAGAGGTCAAGAAGAGTTCAATAAGGTTATTAAATTAATGATAAATCGTAATAAAAGATTTACTTCAAAACAGAAATGGGAATTGTAATTTTTGTTCTTGACCATTGTTTCAATTTATACCGCCGTTTACAACAACTGCTTAAGTTGGTCAAACTTTAGGGTCATATATAGCTAGACCTGGGTAGTGTATGGGAATAATGTTAAAAAAGTCAAAAATTTTAAGAGTAACGTTTTGAGAATCCATTTTAACTAAAACTAGTAAAAGTGTTGTGTTTTTTAAAACACTGGAATTCAATACATGAAATGTTTGAAAAATGTTATGATGTCCCTGTTCTATTGAAATGATCAACCGATAATGCCTAATGCGGTAAACCCTTGAATTCAAAAGTTACCAGCTGATATTTCAAAGTTACCAGATGGAAAGTTGCCAACTTTCCGAGATCGGCTTTCAGGTTATGTGAAAGCCGAACTCGAAATAAATAGCCCGTTTATTTTTAATAGGATAAAAACATCTAACATATGTATCGATAATATAGTGTACTATATGAATATGTTTTATCTCAATAAAATACTGATTTTCCTTTTGCTAAAATATGGATCCGTTAGCATATGGCAGATTCTAATCGTCAGGAAGCTGATAGATAGTAACCGTTCCAATTAGCGCGAAACGCAAATGTTAGTTGCCTTGTAATATGTTGGTTTGTCTTCCAATACTCATTTATGTGTTGTTGATATATATATAATATTATATTAAAATTATTGGTTAATCCGGTCAGTTGTTAAAATTTTTCCATTCGCACCTTCAGAAAATCACAACATTTAATTGATCAATTTCCTTGAAATAGAAGTTACAATTAGTATAATTAATAATAGAATAATTTATAGCTTTGTTGTTGTATTTGAACAAAAAACTGCGAAAAAATGACTTGACTTTAAGGTAAAAGATTTTTCATGCGAAGAATATGTGAGTGCTGGTTTGAAATTGTACTTTTAGGCAAAAGCTAGATCGATTGTATGATTGCATCACTTTTTAGGGAAACTTTGAAGGAACATAGTTCAGACTTTGAAAGCCGATGAACTAGCTAGAAAAGGGGCGGCCTCATATTATATTAAGCCACAACCATTCTGCGGTCCGCCATGAAGCTTTTTCAGACTTAAAATTAATAAGTGGCTGGAAAGAGTAGCTCAGACTTATTGGGATAATACAGTTGGCTGCAGACAAGCTAACGAATCTATGGCGAATCGATCAAAAACCAGAATTAGGAAGCTACTAATGCTGAACAGATGTGGCATCTGACTTGAAAAGCATCTATCGAACATAGGTGTTACTAGAGAAGATAGCTGCAGACTTTGTTACAAAGAAGAGGAAACAGCTGAGCACATTCTGTCACTGTGGTAGTCTCGCCAAACTCAGACTTCAGTACTTATCACCTGCTTATCCACTTATAACGGAATAAGGCAATTCTCTCCAAAGGATATAATGGCGTTTTTAACTGCTACTCATCAATGGAACTAAAGTGAGTGTGTCGGAATAATCCTCAAAGGATGCAGTGACGTGGTGACAAGTTCCCAACCCTTTTAAAATCTCAAATCTAGTCTAATATAGTGAGAATGTGTAAGCCACTGAACAAAGCCAAATGTTACCAAAAAGTTTTTGTTTAATTTGCTATACTGTGAACTGACTAATGATACAATAAAAAGTCAGTGCAGCACTATACACTGCATGAATTTCCTTTACTCATCAATTTTGAATAAATCTATGAAGATATATTGTGGAATACACGTATTTGAGTTCAATTTAAGACTGGTTTATATTTATTTAATTACAATTTACAAACTTATGAGGTTGCTTACTGAAAAGTAATGGCATGTCTCTCCTTCAATTATTTTCCTTGGATATATATTGCAGACATCATGAAGTTTAACTTTCAAGGATTATAATCTAACAGAATGAGAACACAAAATTTTCCACTGGAATGCTTGAGTATATGAATATATAAAAAAAATTGGATAATGTCTTTAAAATAATTTGGACTTACTAGCTAATATGGACGATATACAAAAGTTTATCTGTAAGCTATTTTCGATTAAGAAAATCTCACACCTGAGGAAAATAGTGCCAGAAATATACAAAAACTTTTGATTAAAAAAAACTAAGAAAATAGCAAACAAGAAAAAACTGAAAACTTTAGCGATTGGAATCTAATCGAATATTTTCAGAAATCAATATTATTTATAAATATTTTCACTATAAATTCAAATAATATATTTATATCTAAAGAAACAATTTTCTGAAAATCCTTGCAATTGTTTTGAGAATATTTTTTGAAGGACTTCGTTCAATTGAAATTCATGAAGTGTACGAATCCTTGTATTGTGAAAGGAAGAAAAATATTGCGATTCAATTTGCATAATTATTTTCCGTATTTTTGTATTTCACAACAAATCTTGATTTGATACATTTTTGAATAAAAATGCAGAAAAATGTGCACTGAGTGTGAAAAATTTTAAAGTCGAAGAAAACAAATAATGCAGTTTTTATTTTATTTTCGTAGGAAAGAGTATTTATTTTTAAATTTAAAAATATAAAAAAGGATTTCAAATTTCAAAAAAAAAGGATAAGCAATTGTAATTGTGAGGAATTTTACACGTGCGAATATAAAGCAATAGCTATATAGAATATTCTACAGATTGTATAGATTATTATATACCTAGATTATTTTATATTTGTTTCTTGCAATAGAAACTGCTTAACAAAATATTATTGATATTAAAGATATTTCATATATATGAATATATACTATTTGCAGAGAGAAAGTAGTCATTTTTATAAGTTAAACTTTTTATTTTACTTAGTACTCAAAATTAATAATATTACGTTAGACGGATTCGAATAGCAAAGAAAAGCCAAAGATAAAAATTTCAATAAATTAACTAAGTTTTTGTGCTTATCTTCTCTTTGCTATTCGAATTTGTCTAACATTAAAATTGTTTCTTTTTGTCATAAAGGAGCGTTCCTCTCGGCCAGAAAAAAATAACATTTATAATATTAAATTTTGATAAATATTCATTCCTATCCATTAAACAAAAGAAAATTCTCCAATTAAATTTGTTTAAGGAAGTCAGTACCTTAACTTGATGCATCAATTTTTTTCTTGAAATGGTTGGATTATTTCTTTAATCTTAATTAAACAAAGATTGCAGTTAAACAAGTTCCCTGTTTCAATAAACCAAACCTTGTCAATACGGAATTCTTGTAAACTTCTATGCGCTAACAGTCAAATCACCGATAGTAGTTCGAATTATGTCATTGATCTGTATAATTGAAGGATCAGGTTATTTCTAATTTTTTTGAGTTTCCAACATTTTTAACAGCAAAGGATATCAAACAAATAAGTTGTCTCTCAGTTAACACTGCAAGAATATAAACTTATATCTGTGAGAGAGGAAATTCTTCTTTAGTATATTTATTCTTTTATTTTGAATATCTCCAACTATTAGCCATCAGGTTGTGTGTCAGGAGTAGAACTTAAGATCTATCAAGTTTAAAAACAAAAATATTGTATGGAAATTAAACTAATTTCCAAACGCCACTGACAATGGATATTTAACGATATTCGGAAGAGATGTATGGTAACTCTGAAGACTCACATTTCTATTGTTTTTTATTATATATTTTATACATATAAGTTTTAATAGCTTTATGACTATTAAAATTGAATGCAACATAGTTTTCTTCTTTGCTAATGGTTATATTATATTTTATAATATATATATTTTTTGTATTTTAAAACAGAGTTTTTATTATCTACTTTTATTGAAAATTTTTATAGACTGAAAGTTATTAAAAGAGTTCGAAATAATAATGTAGCTTCTATACTGATGGAATTGGAAATGTTCTCAATGACTTTTGTCTAAGTTGTGCGTTACAAAAAGGTTACTAGTTACATTGTTTAATACTCTCTAGAATACGTCCAAATGCTATTTGTTTGTACTCCTTTAACTATTTGTCCGAAATCCACAAAGTATGCTCTAGGAACATTACTTATTATATCAAAATAGAACTGTAATTTTTTATTTTCGAACAGAAAATCGAAATTTATATAGAAAAGTGATGAGCTAAATAACGGTTTTGTGGTATCATAATATGTACAAATATTCGTGATTCTGTTATCCTATATATTTTATGAAATTAACTTTCATTGTTCTCGAATTATCAATCCAATGCAGCATTTATAGAAATGAGTGTTTCAGTTAAGTTCCAATAAATTTTTATATTATTTTCTAATATTCATAGAAACAAAAAAAAACTTTATGACAAACAAAAGTTAGGGTCCGGACTGGATTCAAAGTTTGGATTTGCAGCGATTCATATACATCTTAACCACGCCTTAATAAATCATGTGTCAAAAATTAATCACAGAAAATAATCCTAATGTCCAGGTTTGACTGCATCGAATTTTTCGGAATGGCACTATGACACATAGACGAACAGCTATAATTCAATTTGTCGGTACAGATAGAAATAAGCAATGCATACATATATAATAGGTGCGTATCTTCGAACGCATAACGCATAAACAGTGTACCCTAACTGAATTTTAAATATAAATTGTTAGAGTTGGATTATGAATATATAAAATATTAAGAAAAAATATTAGAATTTTCAGTTTGCTTTATGCGCCCATCAAATTAATTTACAATCAATTAATTTATTGGCTTACCAGAGAATAATTTGAAATACCGTTGTGTTCTGAAAGTAAATTAAATCAATTATCTATTACTTTCGCATGTAACAATAATATTTTAAAATTAATTTATTCCAAATATATACTTTCTATTCAAAAAAAATATTTAAAAATTATGAAAAAATTTGTTCAAATATTTAATGATTTAAACGGATTAAGAATTTTTTCATTCTATCACATTTCTTTTAAATATATTTCAAAAATATTTTTACAATTTACAACGTTTTTTAGAAATATCCATTAATTTTATTTTTACACAATATAAACTGTAAAAAAATATATAATAAAAATTTTGGGCATAAAAATTTGTGTAAGAAAAAAACCCATTCATTTTTTGTGAAAAATAAAATTAAAAATAAAAAGCATAAAAGCTAGAATAAATGTAATGGGCTTGATTAACATTATCATAGTTGTGTTTGTGTATTAGTAGAATTTGTTATTTTAGTAAATGCGCTTCGTGCTGTTGTTATTGTTGTTGGTATTAAGCGAGCATAATAGTTACAGTTGTTGTAATTTTTAGTATTTGCTTTGGTGTGTTGAATGGCACACACGAAAACTGCACACATACTAACCCAACATAGTTTGTAATTGTGTACATGTTATGCCTGCAGCAAACAACAATTACTGTAAACAACAGCAATAGCAACAACAACAACAGTGTACTGTTCAAAAATTTAACAAACAAACTAAATGTCATGTTAAAAGTTTTAACATTTTTCATTACAATAAAACAATAACAATAACAATAACACTAACAAATACAAGACAAGTAAAACACAAAAAAATGTCAGCGAATTTCAAACATGGTTTTTATTAAAACACAAAAACCAGCAAAAACCAAAAACCAAAAACTGTAACTACAATAAAATTTTTGTTTAGAACAAACGGAAACTATACTAACAGCAACAACAACAACACCGTCAACAAAAATAATAAAACATTAACAATAAAAACTAACAAATTTAAAATTTATTTTTCTAAAATTCTTGCCGTTTCTAAAAATGAAGTTTTGTGATGAATGTTCTGCAGCAGGCATTTTAAATTTGACATGAGAGACGTGTGGGACATGCGAGACATGAGATGAGGAACCAGGCACGGGGCCCGGGGCATGAGGCATGAGGTTCGAGAGAAGTGACCGTACATCCACATACCATTTTATTATAAGTGATTCTGAGTGCGTATGACTGAGTGCAGGATGTGCAAGTATTTCAGTTTTAGTTAAATTTAAAATATTAAATATTTTTGTAATGAAATAAAATTCCACAGCTACGGATGGCAGCAGTAAAATTTCAAATTTTAATGAAATTGTTTTAATTGCAACAAAAATAGCTTTAACTAAAATACTTAATGCATCTGTACATTTATTTTTTGTGCTCAAACCTCCACTTTCTTAACCAAACTGGAGCGCAAAAATTTGTTTTTTATTAGCATTATAAATATAATACAAATCATTAAACCGCAATAAAATATTATATTTGGGTAATTTGTCCCCTAATATTAAATATGCATCAATAAATGCAAACACACTGCAAACAAAATTTGTTTTTATTCTTATGCAAACGAAGCAACAATAATGCACTTTAAAAACATTTCCAAATCGTTTTGTTCAACTGACGAAAAAAAAACCACTACTTTCGAGAAAATAATACTATAAAGACAACTACCTTCGTGAAAAGATCGTTAAAAAGCTGACTATCTTCGGGAAAAGAACACAACCCGAAGATTAAAAATTCGAACATAAACACTACATTAACATACAGAGAAGATACTCAATCGTCTTTTCTTCATCTTCATAGCAGCATTGCACAACGCTACTGTACTGTATATCCCCTGTATTCATCTCCTGTTTTCAGTCTAGATAGGGATGATAACAGAATACTGTCTGCGCACCAAATACACTGTGTAGAAGATGATGATGAAGAGGTAACAATTGAGTATCTTCTCCGTTACTTTCCAGTTCTAAGCAGAATTAACAAAACTACACTGGAATGGATCACTATCACAGAATGATAAAGTATAACTGGGATTTTTCGAGAGAAAAGTTGTTTGTCAGATCATCAGTACCCCATGAGTTGGCGAAGTCTATCGCAATCGAAGAAACCAAGAGAAGACTATCGCATTCGAATAATTATGACAGTAATAAAGACTATCGAATTAACAATTCAATATTTTCACTAGTTCGGTCTTGTCGTGAGAATGGATGAAGATGCTTTAGTAAAAAATGACAACAGCACTTAGCATGTAAAAAACTTTCCCCAACACAATTCCCCACTTCATTAGAAGATATAGCAACCACATCCATTGAGTATACTCATAAAGAATCTTAAACTGTTGTTAGTGCTCATCAGCAGCTATAAAAAACGTATACTACGTTTTGCTCCAAGCTTAGATAAATTTGAAAATTTAAATACTAAGCTTCTCATGTTTCACCTCCTGATTATTGGAGTGCGATTTCAGACGAAAGTGCTTCGCAGTCTGATGGCTAAAATCTTCTCTTCTCTTAAGAGTAGTTTTATTGGGTTCAAGTCTCACATTAAGTTTTGAAAAACCAAACAATGAAAATATGTAATAAAAAAGTATTAAAAATACATAAATATATATATCCAGAAATCATTCCGAATAGTTGATAGTTTCAGCAACTTTATGTTGTAAGGTGACTTTGAAGAAATTCTATTAAATCAGACAACAGTCTTTTAATTTCGAATGTCACTCTTAAAATAAGAGGTTGCAATATTTTCCTAATATTTAAAAATCTAACCCAAGTTTTTCTATAAGAATATGTAGTTACATATTTTTTGTGTATATTTTAGTGAAAAATAAATTATTGTGAGTTTTTGTCGGGCAAGCAATTCTAAGGCATTTTAATTCAATTAAATGTTGAGTTCAATTGCGCTGCCCTCTTTAAGTCGATGGGAATGGATTAAATCAATTACTCTTGTTTTTCCATTCGCCACAATAGTTGCAATGTTCTTTCTGATGTAAATTGTAATGCAATTAATGTTTTTGTTGTAATGTTTGCACTTTGATTTAAAGTAATTTATGTCTTTGATGTTTGAAAACAAATTAACCGGAAATTAATTTTTTGGTTTGGGTAATTTTATTCATAATTACATGCACCTTCAAACTATGCGAGAGCATAAGTACGCATATCAGCCATCAAAACGGAAGCAGGAGCAATTTCATAATTACAATTCAATTAATAACCCTAATTAAAGGCCATAATTCATTTTGTGCATAAATTAAATTTGATCTTAAATAAAATTGCACACAAAGATTTTGAATAACGACTACGAATTTAATATTTATTTACACAAAATATTTACAAATTCTTTAAAATTGTTTCAGAATTAATTCCCATTCAGTGAAATTGAATAATTACATTAGCAAATCATTTTTAAAGAGGCTCTTAGGTTTTCCCTTAAAATAGCCAGGATGGTTTAGAAAATAACAATGGAATCCAAACCATTTTTATTCGATAAATTGGACAGAGATAGAGGATATAATGGATAGATGGAACAAACAATTTTTTAAAATATTAAATTTATTGAATAAGTTAAAATTTAAGTTTCGATTTTCGCAACAAAAACTTTAATTAGTTTGCTGGAGTATTTAATAATAAAAGTTATGTTAGATAATGACATTGAGATGATATTTTTAGAAAAGGAAGGAGATATATGTTAGTATTAATCTGAATTCTATATAGATTCTAATAGTAAAATCTCTTCTAGCCAGCTACTATCGCCACGAGGTTTAATATAGAATATGACTGGATAAGTAATAACTCTCACGGTATTAAAACTTACTACCACAAATTGGTTTATGGTGACGTTAGTTCCAATAATGATTTCACGAAATTTAATAAAATATTTCATATGAACTATATATTCGATACACAGGTTTATACCAGTACAAATACCCATTACCAATTCGGACTGTCACATTGCGTATTCAAGCGGGGTTATCCTATTCCTGATTTTGAATGTATTAGTATTTAAGGTACATTTGCAATTGAGATATCTATAAAATTTTATTTTCAATATATCCTATGAGTGTTTAAAATAGTTGTAACTTATAACAAGTTCTAATGTCCACCTCATGCTGAAGAATCCTTTTGTAGCAACTTTCAATGACTTAATGGCAAAGAGCTGGTAATAGTTTGGCCATAATTTGGCGATTGTTCATCACGCTATTTCAAAGCGTTAAAAATTTGAGGATTGTCGAAATAAAAGTATTCCCTTGCATCAGTTTTTATTTTAGTGACAGTAGAAAGACTTTTCTGGCCAATTAATTTTATCAAAATAAAAAATAACTCTATCCAAAAATTTCTTAAGGAACAAAGTGAACATAATATATATTGTGTGGCTGGTGTCACTAACTTGTTGATACAACGCTGAAACTATTTTCCAGATAGTTTTACATATTTTTTATTCTTCCTTACACGTTTTATTGTGGGACGCCCGACCGGAGATGAAAATCTGGTACTACGAGGGACAGGGTCCTTTGACTATTGAGGTTGATTCCATTAAGGGAGTATCGTGATGGTTGCGGTTATAAGCCAGGCTTACGCGGGTAGAATAAGTGTATTCATTTACAATTATTCAATGTGAAGATATATTTTCCAATCAGGTACTATGACCCAAAGATCAGCAAATGTAGGTATGTAGGTATGTAGATAGGCCTCGTTCCTCACCAAAAAGGAAGCTATGCCTAAACATATAAATTCAAGTGATACCGGTGGAATTCCTCGAAGTTCCAATTGGGCGTGCATTGGAACAATATACTGATGCGTGTGTGAAGAACACAGTAGTGATAAGCCCTCACGGCATGTATCCACGTTAAATTCTGGACCCTCATGTTTGAAGCTTGAGGTATTAGTGTTCGGAGAACAGTATTTGACTTTTTCAAATCAATTACAAATTTTTTATTAAATGGTGGCATATATATGAAAAAATATTTAAGATTTCTAACTTTTAACATCAATTTCTAATATAAGTTCACTTTTAAA